GGCACATAGCCTGAGCATGTGTAACCGCTCCAAAGGCATAGCAATCGAAGTTAAGCATGCATAACCATCGCCACAAGGGGGATATCAAAGGCATAATGATTGAATTTACCACGACAGCATAGTAGCAAACAGAAAAATATCCAAATTAAGGCGTCTTGAAGGGACACCAAAAATATCCACTACTCGAAGCAGATTTAGTTTGCAAATTAAAAAGACAACTTAAATGAGCGATTCCTCCTAAGACTGAGTATCCGGGCCGCCGTCCTGGGTTGCAACGATCTCGGAAACAACATTCTCCGCGGTCTCCATAGGCTCGGCGACAGCACTGGCATCAGGGTGGGTAGGCGCCTCTGGAGACGGCACATACTCTGAATTGATGTCATCATCATTCCAGAACTCCACCGCGTCTCATATCCCATTGGTATCCCAGTACTTCTTATCATCAGCCTTCTGATACTCCTCCGAGGTCCAGAACGCCTCCCTTGCCTCCTGGGCGGCCTGCAACATGTCAGCCTCGCGGGCGTCCTGCAGTTCAGATTTCTCAGTACGAAGCTTGGCCAGCTCAGCCTGCAGGGCGCTCTCCCGGGACAGAGAATCGTTGAGATCGGACCGTAGGCGCTCAACATCCTCCAAAGCCTTCTTGGTTGCCTCCTTCTCCGCTTCAATCTGGGCGTCTTTGTCCTTCACCAGTTTCTCCTGCTCCTTCTGGACTTCCCCTCGCACTTCCGCCTTTATTTCTTCCCGGCCCTCCTTGATCTGATCCTCCAGCTTAAGGACCTTGGTTCACTCGTCGTCAAGGACGCTTTGAAGGCGGTCGTTGTGGAGCATCATCTGGTTTAAACCAAACTGGGTCTGCAAAGTGACAAGTCCCAAGACAAGTTAGAACATGAAATTGTAAAGGTAACCAGCTGAATGAAGGACACATACCGCGAAGAAGAAGCGCGAAGTCGCCGCCGCCAGATGCCTAGTATCGGAAGACAGAACAGGGGTGCCCGCGACGTGAGTAAAGTCGTCGGGGACCGCTAAACCTTCAGCAATCACGTGCATTGCACGTTTGGCGGCGACAGGGTAAAGGGACGCCTGTGAAGAGAAAGAAACGGAAGTATCAACGGACGTCCTCTTCTGCTTCTTGGCCGCAAGGTAGGAGTCAATGGGAGTCGGCGGCTTCTCGATCACAACCCCCTTCTGCTTAACCTCCCCAGCGGTCAACATCAGATCCTTGGAGGTGGTGATGTCCAGCGGCCGCTTGGTGGAATTCCTTGTCAACGTGGGCTCCGCCAGTTTGAGAACCCCGGAGCGGCTGGCGACCAGCTGTTTCTGAGAAGGAGAGTGGGGTAAAGCGGTTGCAGGGCTGGATGAAGCTGGGGCAGAACTCCCAGGCTTGGGTGGTCGAGCAGAAGCCGCATACCGCCGGGTCCCTGTGGAATAATTACATAAGTAAAGTAGATGAGAAAAAGCGGTCAACACGAAAGAAAAAACAACTAACCATGAAAGCGTCGAATAATGTCCAGAGCATTATCGTCGCCCTTCGGAGGAAGGCAAATTTGGAGAGCACTGGTGAGCCGCTTTACTAACGGCTTGAAGGCCTCTAGGCCGTCGGTATTGTTGTTCCAGTCTTTCTTGTCACCGAAGGAGAAACCAGTCGGCGGCTCAACTTCCCCAGAATACCAAGTGTCAGTGGGGCGAGCGAAGAAATATTCGCTAAACCAAGGAGAATCTAACTTGGGCGCCCCACTAACAATACCAACTCGCGACTCTCGACGGTAACAGGACCAGCAATTATCAGAGCCTCTAATCTTGTACAACTGGCGAAACGCGTCAAAAGAGGGCGTCTCGTCAATTTTCGCGCAGGCGGCCCTAAACGCGATGGAATGGAAGATGATGCCAGGAGAGAGTCGCCCCAATGTGCAGTTCAAGTAGAGGAGCGTCCGAGTGAGGATAGGGTCGACGGGGAAAGTTAAACCCATTCGAAGGTGCTCTACATGAATGGGAATCCAGCCGTCTGGACACGAACTAGACCGCCCAACTGGAGAAGGGGCCGCATAGTCCCACTCAGAGGGCAGGTTGTGCGTCTTCAGCTGCCGAAGGACCTAATGAGGCTTGTACGCAGCTTTGTTAGGCGGTCCTTGTGCGTAGGCGCTCTGGGGGACAACCTCCCCCTCCCACATATCCTCATGTAGACGGACGCGGTAAGTGGTGTCATGGATAGCCTGGAAGGCCCCCACGGGCAAAGCATCGGACACCGTCAAAGAGGGGGACAGCTGCAACTCCCTCTCCTCATCCACGGGGCGGTCCTCCCTCGCCTCATCCATAGGGCGGTCCTCGGAACCACTTTCAGAGGACAGGGCAACTAGGAGCACATTACGAGGCGGTTCACTCTCGGCCTCGGAATAGTTAAAGTCCCCGAGGTTGTCTCCAACCCAGGAAGACGCCCCGCGCGCCGGAAGTGCCCGCGTCAAAAGCCAGATCCAGTTCTACCCCTAAAAGGTCATAACGAAGACCGCCTAAGTATCACTAAATGAACCGTGCCAAACATATCGCGTGTGTTGCAGTCAATTCTAAACCCTAATACTAACCAACCGAGCAACGAATAAGAAAAGTACCTGGATTTGCTTGGCGGCTCCTGGATGGCGCTCCGCCAGAGTTGCCACCAGACTTGGCAGAGGACCGAGGTACACTAACGCCGGCGCTGGCAGTCCGAGCGTCGCCGGAAGCGGTAACGGCCACATCACTGGAGGTTGTGACGGCGGCGACGTCGTCGGAGAGATGTTGGTTCTGGCTATCGGAGGGAGTAGCGCTCTGGGATCCCTTCGCCATTTGTCGTCGGAGTTTCCTTTTCGCTCGTTTCTGACGTCGCCGAAGCTTAGCAAGAAAATCCGCTCTCGTCGAAGACAAGGAGACGTTATCTCGCAGGTAAGAGGAAAGGGAAAAGCGAGAGCACCGAGCAATCGTGGCGGAAGAATCGGAGGAAAGCAAAGCAGAGTGAGGGGAAAAGAGTAGAAGAATGGTGGAAAGGATGGAAATCGGGTATAAATAGGCGAATGCAGGGGATGGACAGGCGACGGTTGAGTGACCTAGGCAAGCCCTACCCTAGGAAATTCAAAAAGTCGGGCAGCTGATTGGACGCGAGGCTGCCCGTTGTCAGAGCACGAAGACCGAGATCAAACACGTGGCAACGCGCATGCGCGGCGCTGAAAGTGTAGAAGGCGAATCGACGGAAGCGGTTCAACGAGACGCATAGAAACGGGGACAGGAAAGCGGATAGAGCAGTCGACTACCAACAAACCAATCCAAAAGGGGTGGACAGCGGAATCGCTCAAGTCCGAAGGGTGCTGCAAGGGAGACAGATAGCGGAACCGCCCAAACTTTGGAACGACCCAGCTCACTAAGAAGGAGGTGGACAGCGGAATCGCTCAAACTTCAGAAGGCCTTCAATAAAAATGGACAGCGGAATCGTGTACGGGCATGAGGGAAGCGGCCAACATAAATCGTCACAGTGATCTTTGAGTGGAAGAACGCGAAGATCAAATAGCGGTAAGCAGCACAGCTGTAGAACGTTCGGGTACAGTGGAGATGGACTAACTGGGATAACTGGAAAAGCCGTGTCTCTATGGCGGCCAGGGGCAGAAGGGTAGACAGCGGTTGGTACAAGGACCGCTCAGCTGTCAGATAGCGAAATCAGTAGCCGCCAAAATCCGCAGCTTTTCACGACTAAGGGGCAATTGTTGGGCCATAGCTGAGCGGTATTGGGCTCGGAGGCCCAAGAAGGAAGACCCGTCAGAGGGCCCAGGAAGCAGGCATAGGGAGCTGGGAAAGGAGGGCGGCCACCCTAGGATGGGACAGGCAGTAGGCCGCCTGACACAAGGAGCCGTTGCTCGGGCAGAGGCCGAGATCCTCCTAGGATACTCCTCGAATACAGCAGGACAGAGCATTAAATGCCCGACGTAGGCGGTCTAGACAAAGCATGGCTGACCTAGGACGCTTGACAAGGGCATTTAATGCTCGAGACCAAGACAACCCACTATAAATACATTCATATCTGCATTGATGGTAACTCAACTACTCTCTCTCTATCTAAACACAAACCAAAACTCTTAATTCTCTCTCTAACTTGAGCATCGGAGGGTGTCCAGGGCAGCCGCCCACGGACCCTTGTTTTGCAGGAGCTTGGAGTACCCCACCATCCGGAACAGGCGCATCCCTCGTTCTTCACAAGACCGCCTAGAACATTCTAGGCTTAAACAAATACGAAAAGAGGACAAGGGTAGTTTCAAATCCTGCCTCCGCCACTGTTTGATTGTACACTTCTTAAGTGGGCTTGGCCTAGTCGTTAATCTAAATGAACACCTCTTTAACAAATATAGTGATATTAAAGTTTATCATGGTGCGGTATGTATCATTTTTCATCATCGTCTACCACCAATTACCACCTATATACCAGAGTGGTGTATTTTTTTTTTTAAATTTTTTTTTGAAAAAGTTTGTATGAGATTACCACCAAATTTGAAAAATAGAAGTGAATCCGTAGGAAAAGTTTTGCATACTCAAGAAATCGCTTTATTGTTTGAAATAAGCTAGCAAAATGTGGTATGCTAAGGCTTATGCCTTATAGTCTTTGCTAAGTCATGAATGTTAGTAGTATAGACTGTCTATGTTGATGATAAAGGCAAATTTACAGTCACTTTTCGAGACGAAGGATTTGGGTGAATTGAATTAAGTTCTCGGATTTATAAACGGTTGAATATGTAAGGGGATTCATGTTTGTCAACTAAAAAATTGCACGGAACTTTTGAAATAAGTTGGGTTTGATGTTCGCTGCCCTAACCTCTGACGTAGGCCTCTCCAAAAGTTGCCAATACATATAGCAACGAACCTTATCTTTCATTTCCCTGAGTACGAAGGAAGTTTACAGGTTTTGTGTCTCACTGATAAGGTCTTTTCTCTACAATTAAACTAACAAACAATTCATAAGACTCTTTCCGGATATGCTAATAATTAGCTCAGGTGTACGGACCCCAATTGCTGAAATACATGACTGTTCTAAGCGACTCCTCTGCTGCCTTTGCTCTCTGTTGGCCAATCCTTCCAAGCTGCTGGCTTGGTTCTGCCGCAGGAGCCACAGACGAATGAGAAGAAGCCGGCTTCTGTTTGGGCTTGGGTTGATGATGTGCCGCCATGATCTTGTTTTTGGCTTGTTGGTGCAGTGCTCTGATGCTGGTTATCGCACTTGAACCCATCTCTTATACGCCGCTAATTAACGAAACAAGCAGAAAAGCAACTCAAAAGGCTGAAGATATATATGCTCTACCTTTGTGGGTTAATTGGCGGAGAAGTGGATATATAATGGACGGAGAGTGCTGTTTTTGGACATAAAGGCTAGGTAGCAGAGTGGTCATATTGTTTGGAAGCATGGGCGATTAAGGGGCCAGTGGTTTTCTCATGAACCTTTGGTCCGGTACAATGTATATGTCACTCTCAGTCTCGAATGTCTCTGCTTTTTGTTCTTTCTGTATTCGATTTTCTCTCTTTCTCGTGAGGATCGGATAAAAGGTATGGGGAGTTGGAGGATGGATAAGAGAGGACGTACGACGCTACTCAACTGTACTGACTTGCTAGCCAACGGATAAATAGGCGGACCCAGGGGCATTTGGGCTGTGACGGACAACCACTGGAAAAACGATTATCTAACTTTCGGAAATAATTTATGTATGGACAAAAAAATTAAAATGAATAGTCCGGGATATTCTGAAATTTGAAAAAAAAAAACAATTATTATACTCTCGTTTGTAGTTTGCATATGAGAATATAGATGATAGTTTGGGTAATTCAAACTCGGGACACTACTATTATTAATAATATAATTTCCATTAGACTACAACTTTTCTGTTGTTCTATTCTAAGCACTGTATAATAGCAACACCCTATTCTCTATCTTTAATTATTTTCAAAATCTAACTATTGATCTAAGTACAAGCTATCCTTAATTTGTATTGACTTTATGGTTGTACGACAAGTGTTGAAAGTGTTTTTTCAGTTTTGAGTTATATCAAGAACAAATTTAGAAGTCGAATATGCGTCAGTTCGTGAATGATTGTCTAGTAGGATATACCGAGACAAATTTATTGAGCAGCGTAGACACCAAATGTATTTTACAATTTTTTCAGAATATGAAAATATATCATGAAACTTTTTTAACTTGTACGAGTTGGGTATTTTTCTTATTTAAGAATTATTTAATTTTTAAATTAATTTAATTTTTAAGAGAGTACACCCCTTTGTAAAATTCCTTGGCGGTTCAATCTCTTCTGCGGCGGTCTCTCGTTTGCTATCCATACGTTACCGGGATTTCATGAGAAGAGAATGTAACGGTATTAGTCTCTGTCTCGTCGTTCACTTTCCTAGTGTGCCGCCCTCACCACCCCGATTATGCTAAAATACCACTAGCTGTAGTCGCCAATAGTACAGTACTACAGTCCAAAAGAACGCCAACTACATCCGCCCTTATAGCTCCTGGTTTTTCTCCAAACATCTGGCTTTTCGCCTCTGTTTAACCCGTCATCAAACCATTTCTCCCCATCTATTCTATAAAAGCCCTATCCCTCTGCTCTTTCCTTCTCCAAATCGAAAAACACACAGAACCCAGATCCCAGTTCCCAATTTCGTTCCCACCCACAACAAAAAGTATTCGACTTGGAGCACCATAAAGAATCAATCCACCAGAAAAGGAGATCAATTAAGATGAGTTCAAGTAGCAGAGCATGGATGGCGGCAGTGGCTGTTGGAGCAGTGGAGGTAATGAAAGACCAAGGCCTCTGCCGATGGAATTACGCCATCAGGTCAATCCACCAGCACGCAAAGACCAAGATTAGGCCCTCTTCAATTTCACAACATAAACCCAGACAGCTTTCTTCTTCTACTTCTACTTCGGCTTCGCAAGGCTATCGGGGTGCCAGGAAAATGGTTGAGCAAGAGAAAGCGGCGAAAGCAGAGGAGTCTCTTAAGACTGTTATGTACCTGAGCTGTTGGGGTCCTTACAATTAGGTTATAAATTTACTTTAGCGCTCCATAGCAATTAATGGGAGCGGCGGAGCGCCATGTAATATCGAGTTGAACTTGTAAATGAGGAGGTGATGTATTGTCTTTGACTTTTTTTTCTTCTTCTTTTTCTCCATAGATATCCCAAAAGGACAGCAAGATACGCTATAGCACAATTAACCTTCTCAGGTCAATCAAAAAATAGAAGAAAGAAGGTACCATGGCTCTGTTACCTACGAGCCACGAAATGAAACAGGACACCCTGAAATGAGGAGACTAGCACAAGAATTTTTCTTAAGATGACTTCATCCAAAACGTGTGACGAATCATTCGCGTTAACCATTCGAACGATCACCTGTGCATCACCACAATACGCATCATTAGAAATAGAATGAGAAAGACACCAATGAATTGCTCTGAGTGCCATGAATTCCATTATGAAATGATCTGAATGTGGTCACAGAAATGGCAAAAAGCAAAATTCACATTCTCTTGTCCTTAATACCCAACAAATCCAATTATCCCCCTGCACGTTTTGTAGCCCATCAAAGTGGACCAAAGGATCAATGGACGGAATGGAGGGGGCGCGAAATGAAACGAGACACACTGAAATGAGGAGACCAGCAACAAGAATTTTCTCTTAAGATTGCTTCACCCAAAACGTGTGATAAATCATTCGCGTTAACCATCCGAACGATCACCTGTGCATCACCACAATACACAACATTAGAAATAGAATGGGAAAGGCACCAACGAATGTCTCTGAGCACCATGAATTCCATTATGAAATGATTTGTAATGTGGTCATAGATAATGTTTCAAAACCATTTACTTTTGCCTTGCTTTACCTTAATTAGCGAACTTTGCAACCAAAACCGATTTGCTAGATAATGTTTCAAACAATTGAAGTAAGGGTACACGGACCAGTCCGAGTCGATATTTAAACATACTTGTCCTGTATTGCACCCTACTAAGGTTTATACTTGGACCTTAGGAGGGAATTAATTGTGATATTTGCAGCGAGTCAAGAATGAGAAGAAATCTTTTGCTTTAGAAAATGCAAATTAATCATGCAAGATATATGTTATAAGTTTTTTTTTTTTGTGGGAGTTATAAGTTTTCATTTTGGCAATGATTTATTTTAGCATTTGCGTAAATTCTTCCTTACTCCTTTCATTATATAATACTAGCTAGGTGGTGATGCCGCGCATTGTCGTGGAACGGAAATGTCCTATGGACATATATTATATGGCCTGTTATGGTGTTTCGATAATATTATTAGTAATTAATTTTTTGTTAGTAGGTTTGTTAGTATTAGTGACTGAGAAAAGATATAGGGTGTGCCTACGGTGACATGCATGTCACGGTGACTTGCACTTTCCGGTCGACCTCAGTTAGGATTAGGTCGACCTCACATAGAATTCGGTCGACCTCATATAGGATCTGGTCGACCTCATTTAGGATTCGGTCGACCTCATATAGGATCCGGTCGACCTAATATGTTGTTTCAGTGTAAAAACAGTTCATGGTGCCTACTTTGGATATTCATATCATACAATTGGCTAGATGGAAATTGAAGACTAATAACTTGTTTTGAAGCTGGAGTGTCCCTCTACATATTGAAGTGATTGAGAGCTCGATAGGAAGTTCGGAAGACCATTTTTGAACCTCATCAAAAGGCTATGCCAAATTCGAGAAATGGCTAAGTCTGGAAACGTGTTTGTGAAGCCTATTTTTTAGCTCAATTCGAGAAGCATGAATGCGAGTCGAGTCCAGGAGCCTCTACCACGTTAAATTAGGTATGTTTTTATACAAATTAAAGGAATTGGATGAAAGATTGGATATCTTTAAGGCTTCAAACAAAAGGGTCGAAGTTGCTACGAAGGCTGTTTTTCTGGCAGACTTCGAGCACAAGCAAGCTGCCAGAAAAACAGCCTTCGTAGCAACTTCGAGCCTTTTGTTTGAAGCCTTAAAGATATTCAATCTTTCATTCAATGCTTTGCCTTTGTATAAAAAAATACATAATTTAACGTGGTAAAGACCCATGGACTTGACTCGCATCCATGCTTGTCAAATTGAGCTCCAAAGTAGGCTTGACAAACACGTTGCCAGACTTAGCCATTTTCAGGCAGTTTCCCAGTTTTGGCATAGCCTTTTGGTCAGGTTCAAAATTGGTCTTCTGGACTTTCTATTGAGCTCCCAAGTACTTTAATGTGTAGAGGGGCACTTCAGCTTCAAAACAAGCCTTTAATCTCCAATTTCCATCTAGCCAATTGTAAGATATGAATCTCCAAAGTAGGCACCATGAAACTGTTTGTACACTGAAACAACTGATTAGGTCGACCTGATCCTATATGAGGTCGACCGAAAAGTGCATGTCACCGTGACATGCATGTCACCGTAGCAAAGTCCAAAGATATATGGTGGTCAACATCCAATTTTAAAAAATTTAAATTTTTTGGCTAATAAATTATATTAACTTAAACTCAAGTAGACCCATTGATTATGGGTCGGGTATGGGTGGCGTATATATGGGTTTGGAAGTTTGCAGATGAGTTTGGGTAGTGTATGGATATTTATTTTCATAATCTAAATGTCTATGAGTTGGGCATGGATACCCATTTATTCGATGGTATTTTAATTACACATACAAATTAGACCTATTTGTAGGACTTCAAAAGTTTAGCAACCAAAATGTAATACACAAAAGTTTTTTGGTACTACAATGTAATGTTCCATCAATATTTTGAGGACTTATATGCCAAAAAAATAATTTTAGGTTATAAATCTAAAGATCTATAAAATTTAGGCACCGAACTGTAATTTGCATAGTCGAGGCTTAATTCCTTTTATGGTGATGTATTTAAGATGATGAATATTTACTTTTCTGTGGAAAAATAAAAACTATTTATTTGATAAGTGTAGATACCTAGCCAAACATTCCATGTATAATTGTTAAAAGTTCTAGCCAGGGTGAAAAAGAAAAACTCTAGAGAGAAGCAAAAGGATTAACAAACTGGAACTCACTTAAAATTTCATGCTTTCAAATTCCATTATGGAAAATGACGGCTTTCTAATTAGTAATAATCTTATATATTTATTTTTAATTGGACTCGACATTGAGTTGAAAAAGTTAGTGGTTCATGGTTCAATTATTAATTCTCTAGACTGTTGGTGAGTCGTGTATGGACCCGTTCATACTTGTGAGTAGAATACATAAGAATAATATACTAACTAGGGTTATACGATTAAGGCAAAGAAAGAAATAAAGGAAAGGTTATGGAAGGCGAGTGAAAAATGTAATGAAGAGGAAGTAGATGATGGAAAGGTTTTGAGCAAATAGTTGGTCATCAATATAACAGTCAACTCTTCAAACCGTTGCAATTTATCGACACTTGCTTATGTAGATTTCGCATATTTTGTTACATGTAGTTAGTAGAAGTTTGTTTATACCCCGTAAATGTACTAAATGAGTTTATAAATTCACTTTTGCAATATTTTAGAGTCATCTATCTTTTATCATTTATTTAATGTTTCACATAAATATTGTATGATACAAACATAAAAATTATAGATACAACATATATAATGGTCATATCTTTTCCTACAATTGAGTGATACGGCATATTGTATGATACAAACTAAATTTATACTTTTATTTTATGGGGGATTGAATTCATGCATTGGTTCAACAGGATTGGTGGATCCGGATCATGAATTCAAGTGAAATCTAAAAATTGGACCAATATATAAATTTAAAAAAATTTAGATACGAAAATCTCAAAAAATTTAGATACCAAAACATGTTTGTTCAATAATTTGACACTAAAATTAAATTTGGGGTATCAAAATATAAAATTTACATTCTAGTGACTGAGTTGTGATTTAATTAAATTTGAGGTATCAAAATAGTATTTTTTAAGGCAACAATAATTAAGTTTCAGCACTTAGATACCAAAACATAATTGTTCAATGAATTTATATTAAAACTAAATTTTGGGTATCAAAATATAAAATTTACATTATAGTGACTAAGTTGTGATTTAATTAAATTTGTGTATCAAATTATAATTATTTAAGTAACAGTAACTCATCTTCAACTTTTGAGGTATCAAAATAGTATTTTTTTTTAGGAAACAATAATTTAAATTCAGCATTTAGATACCAAAACATAATTGTTTTACATTAAAACTAAATTTGGGGTATCAAAATATAAAATGTATATTATAGTTACTATGTTGTGATTTAATTAAATTTGGCTAACAAATTGTAATTATATCGGTAACAGTAACTCATCTTCAATTTTATATTTTGGGTATCAAATTATAATTATTTAGGTAATAGTAACTCATCTTCAACTTTTGAGGTATCAAAATAGTATTTTTTTTAAGGCATCAATTATTAAGTTTCAGCATTTAGATACCAAAACATAATTGTTCAATTAATTTTACATTAAAACTAAATTTGGGGTATCAAAATATAAAACGTACATTATAGTGACTAAGTTGTAATTTAATTAATCTGGGTATCAATTATAATTATTTAGGTAACAATAACTCATCTTCAACTTTATATATATTAAAACTAAATTTGGGGTATCAAAATATAAAATGTACATTACAGTGACTAAATTTTGATTTTATTAAATTTGGGTATCAAATTATAATGATTTAGGTAACAGTAACTCATCTTCAACTTTATATATATTAATTATTAATAACTACAGTGGATGATAAAGAAAAATTTGTTATACCAGTGTGGCTATAATAGATTTTGTGGGTAAGTCGTTGTGGTTAGCGATTACCCACTAGCCACAAAAGTCATAATTTTGCTAACCACACCCAATCCAACACCCACAATGTGTGCTATTTGGTGCGGTTGGTTGTTTATCCGCAAACCAAACTTCCACCCTACTGAAAACGCCATTAAAAATTATGCAAAATTTACTAGCACAGCCATAATTATTGACTTTGTGACAAACATGTTTCTAAAATCTTGACATTATATGTATTTCTTATAAATTAGCTATTATTGTCACAAAGTCAATACTTATGCAAGACGAAGGAAAGGAAGCTCACTTGAGCACTCTATACTCACTAGATATTACAATTTTGACCTGACCCGTTTGACTTTTACCCTGCTTGTTTGACCTGTATTGGAGATGATCTGACCCGCCTTGGATACTTTCCTTGACCTGACCTACATTGACCCTCTGTATTCCCGACCCGCCTTTACCTAAATTACATGTAATTTTATTCAAACTAATTACAATTTTAGTCAAATTACTTATAATTTTAATTTTATTTTCTCACATTTTAGTTATAATAAATTTATTAATAGGTGATAATGTTTTGAATAATTGAACTACATTTATCATATTTTAATTTTATGGTAGATTTTTAATGAAAAAAATTTGAATATATCTAATTTTTTATTTTCAAACTACATACCATTGAGTTGATATGCCTTGATCCGCACTATTTAATGAATTACTCAATCTGAATCCACCTTGCTACGTTGTAGATATGAATATCGTGAAACCCATCCCGAATTTGTCCATTGTTATTTCTAATACTCACCCGCTCCAATAGGTGAGTTTTTTTTAGGGATGGCAAAAATATCCGTAACCGTGGATATCCGCCCGAATCCGGCCTAATTGGGTAGGGTAGAACCCGAACCCGAAGGACATTTAGTGGATATGGGTAAAATCCGAACCCGAATATTGCGGGTAATGGGTGGGCATGGGTTTCTCACTATCCAACCCGAACCCGCCCGATTATACACATACATATGTATTCTGTCAAGAAATAATCATTTTTTTCTCTAACATATTTTATATTTAGCATATAAATATAATATTTTCATGAAATTGTGTTGTTTTAATTAATTTTCTTCATTCTAGTGAATTATTGTCGTACTTTTCTTCTTACGTAATGTGAGAATACGTGTGAATGTTAACATATTGGTTATAGTTATGAAGAAAAATCATTACCCATGGATAACCGCGGATACCCGAAACCCGAACGGGTATGGACATGGTTTTAATTTTCTACCCGTTTCACATGTGGGTATGGGTATGGGTAAAACTCGAACTACTTTGGGTAGGGTAACGGATATGCACTATCCGTCCCCGACCCGACCCATTGCCATCCCTAGTTTTTTTCATATTTATGGGACCAAATTTGGAAAAGAGTCCAGTACAGTGGCTCTCACTGTTTTGACCTTCTTCCAATACAAACAATAAATAAGATTTGAATCCCAAATACAAGAATTACTGTCCATCGATTGATGATGATTCGTTGTCAAAACAAAAAAAAAAAAAAAAATGATGATGATTCTCTCATCTCGAGAAGGATAAAGAAAAATGAAACTATTATGGAGGGAGATGAAAACGCAATACAGGTGCAGTAATGATTACTGAAGCACCGAGGGAACCGAAATGTAAAAAGGTGGAAAAAGGAAAATCCACCGAGCTTGCACAATTTTAAAAGCGCGGACTTGGCGTTGGGCGTGGCCTTCTCTCAATCCAAAGCCAGACGAAGAAGAAGACGAAGGAAAGGAAGCTCCGGAAGAATTTTCACCAGCAACTGAAAATTAAGAAACAAAAATGCCGTTCTGGCAGACGGCCGGAAATGCGACCACATCATCCTCGTCTTCTTCTTCCTCTGCCACGAACTCGTCTTCCACATCTTCCAGCTCCATGAACAGCACCGCCCACCAGAACAGAGCCGGCGGCGATCCGAATCAAAACCACGGCGAGCTTCCCGGAGAAGAGAGAACACCACCGACGGTCTCTGCTGCTACTGCCGTTTCGCTCGTCGCCAAGTCGTTGCTGCCTACCCGAAGGAGGCTCAAGCTTGATCCTGCCTCCAAGCTCTACTTCCCTTGTAAGCCCTGTCTTCTCCCTTTCTCTTCCCCATTTAATGAGCCCTCTTTCCCTTTTTTTCCATACTTCTGTAGGGTCATTAGATTTCAATTCTGATTTTAGCCACCATTTGCTGAGTGTTCAATGATTTGAGTGTTTCTGTTTTCCTGGGGTTGCTTCACAGAATTGTGCTGCTCTCTTGTTACAGTTAAGAGCATTGTGAGGGTCGATTTTGATGTGTTACTTAAGAAACTCTGCTTGGCATTTTATCGAACATGTAGACTTCATTCAACGAGATGCCATTATATGATTCTGCTGCATGCTGTTAAGGGATTCGAGTTCTATTTCACCAGGGTGGTCTGTTTAAGAGACTTTTGATGATGTCATCATACAAGCTTTTCTGTTCCCAATTTAGCTTTTTATCATATCTCCGGAGCTCAATTACGCCCTGAACCCATGTTCACTGTTGCAGCTGATTGCTTGTTAGAGTGATTTCCCTTTCCTGATTTCTGATATGTTTAAAAATTGTGGTTTTGAAGATGAACCGGGGAAGCAGGCAAAGAGTGCAATTGGCATTAAAAACATTTGCAAGTCCCATATTGCTTTCAAGGTATGGATCAAATGTATACTCTTTGTTATTGTCTATCTGCAGAATCATTCTACTCCTTTTCTACTGTGGTTAAGAAAGAATCCCAATCTCTCTCTCTCTCTTTTTTTTGGGTGAAAGAATCCCAATCTCTAAGTTAATAGCTCTGCTTCTACATTTCTAGTTTGCAACCTTGATAATTGATGGGACAACAGCCATATATGAGACTGTATGACTTATGGCCTAGTAGGACCTTCAATGATTTTCTACAATGCTGCACCAGCTCAGCTGTTAATAAAATATATGAACCCTTTAGGGTCATTTGCCTTCTTATTCTTTTTAGTTGTCAAACAAACAAGATCGGCTTAATAGCTAATATAATTTGTACAGTTGGAGTATTAGAACATGTGTATGTGGATTGTGGAATGAGTTAGGGATAAGTTAAACAGTCATTTTGATAGTCTAATAGTCGGTCCATGTTCTCACATTGCTATTTGCCTACTATTAAGGAAGAAAGAAAGCTAATTGTGGCAGTTGGGGTGCTTGTTTTGCAGTTCCAGACAACTGCACCTAAGAGCTGTTACATGCGTCCTCCAGGAGCGATTCTTGCCCCTGGTGAGAGCCTTATTGCAACCGGTAAGAATCTAGTTGTACCCATGGCTGCTTGAATTATACAGTGGTTGATTTCCCGTCCCAGACTGCTGAATCATGAAAAACTGGACAGTGTTCAAGTTTGTGGAGCCTCCAGAGAACAATATTGAGAGGCAACTCGATTTGAAAAACAAGGTCAAGTTCAAGATCATGAGCCTGAAGGTTAAAGGAGAGATGGAATATGTACCAGAGTTGGTACGCAACATTTGTCAATCTATGTTTTGCAGTTTCTCTTCATCCATGGACGTTAAGACTAAAATTATCTGTTCAATTACCGTTACGAAGTTTGATGACATGAAAAATCAAGCAGCGGTGGAGCAAATATTGCGGGTTGTTTTTCTTGACCCTGAAAGTACAAACCCTGTAAGTAATCCCAAAATGAAAAGATCAACCTGCTCTCTCAACATAGAAAGAATGCAACTTTCTGAATCTGAAGACATTGATACTTTATTGGTTTACAAATCTAAGGCACTACAAAAGCTCAAGAGACAACTTGCTGAAGCTGAAGCTGAGCTCGAGAACCGGAAGAAGCCTGCAGAGGAACCGGCCCCTCGGCCTACTGGTGAAGGACTCATCATAGATGAATGGGTAATTTCGATATGCTTGGTCTCCTTACTCTGCTGATATAAGTTAACTTTTCACTGTGGCTTACACAGTTAGTAATGTTCCATTTGTGTGGTCTTTGCGCAGAAAGAGAGGAGGGAGAGATACCTAGCCCAGCAACAGGTTGAAGTTGGTCCAGTGTAGAAGTAACTGTTTCTTCTCATTCTTTTGTTATTGTTGAGGGAATCAAAGAGAGAATCATGTTGACAGAAGTGAGGTGTGAAGTAGCATTAAGGCGTTATCATATTGCTTTTGCTTAATGATGCGGCAACAGAATCTGATTTTGATCAGTTCAATGTTTGTCAATTATGAGTACATGTTAATAATTGTGAACCCTAGCACTATTATATAATCAATCAGTGGTTATCCTAATCGAATGAGATGATTGGCTTAGGTGGAGATATGTGCAGAAATATGCTGGCATCCATCACTTTCACAAACCATGATCAAAGCATGAATATAATAATCCACACTGAAAGGGAATAATGAAACAGGATGTTGAATTGTTGATAAGCTATAATTCATTACTGTTTCTGCACTTCGATTATAAATTATTAATTCCCTATCCCTTTTACGAAAAATCAAAATTGAGTCCCTACCTTATCAGTTATCACCGATGGTATGTGGGTCTCAACAATCAACCGATCCCTGATTTGAGAGATCAAGAAGAAGAATATAACTTCTGTTAAACGAAAAAAAGAAAAAGAGGAATAATATAACTGGAACAGGATATGGAGATGATGAAGCAAATAGGGTACCGTTTTTGTCAAGACAACTAAACGGTGACGTTTTCACATTCAAACGCGCCTGCTTTACCACACGACGTCGTCTAGACACCAACGGACAAAAGCAGAAGAATCGTCCTTCCAAGTCTTCGTCGAGAGAAGGAGATCATCGAGCTGCTCAAAACCTAGCCACCCACCTATGCACTCTCAGAAGCACAGCAAGTCGTACCTGGCGATCTTTCTCAAGAAATCACCGACTCCAGAAGATCAATGATGAAATCTACAGAGGAGCGTCTACGATTCCGCCAACGGTCATCTCTTCTAGTTCAGTATAAATAGCCATCTCTTCTCTTAATTAAGTTTTGACCGAGTGAAGTAGAAGAAAATAGCAGAGAGCGTATTTGTCTTCTTTTGGTCCGAGTTGTGTCTCTTCGAGTTACTTGATTCACAGTGCAAGGTGCTGGGTGAATTAAGTTTGGGAAGAGAGTTCTTCGTGTTTGTTTTGTCAAAGGGCCAACTTCGTTTGGCATGACTTAAGGGTTCTGTGTGATTAGTTCTTCCTTGTAATTTTGTTTTCTCAATCAATATATTATCTTTTCATAAAAAGGATTGAGAGCAGGAGTGATCGAGAAATTGAGTGTTTGAGAGAACTTTCCCATTCTTAGATTCAACAATTGGTATCAGAGCTGGGTCTTTGAAGGATTAAAGCTTCGTCAAAGACGATCACAAGAATGGCAGGAACACAACCAGCTTCCGGTTCTTACTCGGCAAACACAAATCCGCCATGGTTTGATGGCACAGACTACACAGTATGGAAGAAAAGGATGAGGATTTATCTTCGAGGAGTCGATGGCGGATTGTGGGCGGTTGTCAAGAATGGGCCAATTCCCATGGATGATGAAGAAGAAGAAAAATGGGAAGATGATCAAAAGCTGTCCTCTCAGCAGGACTCAAGAGCAATGCATATTTTATTCTCTGCTCTCAGTCCAGAAGAAAGGAGCCAAGTTGCGCAGTGTGAGACAGTCAAGGAGATTTGGGAGTCTCTTGAAACCACCCACGAAGGTACATCTGAGGTAAAAGAAAGGAGGTAAAAGAAAGTAGGATAGATGTTCTACTTAATGAATATGAGTCTTTTGAAATGTTTTCAGGAGAAACTATCACAAGCATGTATAAACGGTTTAATGATTTGATAAACAGATTAAAAGGCTTAGGAAAAACTTTTGCCACTAAGGATCTCGTTAGAAAATTCTTGAGAATTTTACCTAGAGAATGGCTTCCAAAGCGAACAGCTATAGAAGAAGCAAAGGATTTGAATGTTCTGTCAATTGAAAGATTAGTAGGTTCACTGCTTAGTCATGAAGAAGTAATTGTTCAGATGAACAAGGAAGATAATAAACGAAAGAAAGTCATAGCTTTTAAAGCACAAGACTATTAGAGTGAATCTGAATGTGAAATGGGAGAAGAATTTGAAAAAGAAGTTGCTCTAATTAGTAGGAAATTCCATAGAATGTTAAAAATGAAAAGAGACTTTGAGGATAGAAAAAACTATGGAAACACTCGACAGTTTAACAACAGGGCCTATGAACCTAGAAGAAGTAAAGAAACAGAAAGGGTAGCTGGACGATATCCTGATAAAATAAGTACTCAAAATGATAAGAACCTGTTTAGAAGAATAGAAAGACCAGCTGTGGAACGAGAGAGGAAAATCCAGGAAATTAAGGAAGACCATAGGTCTTCCAGTGAAAAAGATTTGACTATTTGCTTTAAGTGTGGAAAGTCAGGACATATGAGATCCAGATGCCCCTTAAATCTGAGGAAACAGGAGAAGGCTATGGCGGCTTCTTGGAGCGATTATAGCTCCGAGGAAGAGATAGAAACGAGAAACCTAGCCTACATGGCCTTTGCAACCAAAGACGACAATGACTCATCTTCAGAGATAAGTAGCAATCAAGGATATCCCTCCAGCTATCAGGTAATATTTGACTCAGAATCTGAGAAAAGTGAGTATCCTGATTCAAAGTCAGAATTTTTGCATGCCCTAAAAAACCTTCAAGAAGAATGTAATAGACTTAGTAGCAGATATTGTCTGCTGATGACTGAAAATCACAATATGACTAAGAAATTATGTGAATTGAAAGGAATAGTTGCAGTTCAGCATGAAAATGAGAATAAGCTCAGAAAACAAATCTTTAAGCTAATAGATGAGAATCAAAAGTTAAAGCAAAACTCACACCATAAATCTCAAACATCTTCTAGAGATAACACTGGCAGAATCAGAACATTTTACATGTAACCTAAGAAGATGTATGGTTTATCTAATGGTAGGATAGAGAATCAAAGAGGGTACACAGAAATATATATATATGCTCTCATTGCAAACGCAGAGGTCATCTAGCAAAATTTTGTTATGATCTACTGAAACCAAAAAAACCTGCTGCATATAAAACATTTTGGGTACCAAAATGTGCTAACGAATGATTGATTGCAGAATATGGGAGAAAAGGAAAACATTTGGTACCTGGACAGTGGGTGCTCCCACCACATGACAGGTAGAAAAAAACTATTTTCTTCATTAAAATATAAGAAGGGAGGTAAGGTCGTGTTTGGTGATGGCAGGCTTGGTAAAATCATAGGAAATGGGACCATTGGTAAGGGTCCTCTTCCTGTTGTAAAAGATGTTTTATTTGTTGAAGGCTTGAAACACAACCTCCTCTCGATCAGTCAGTTGTGTAGCTCTGAGAACATAGTAGTCTTTGAGGCAAATTCTTGCAAAATTTCTAGGATTAGTGATGACAAACTGCTATTTTGTGGCATAAAGAAAAACAATATGTATGTTGTAAATCTAAACAACTTAGATACATTTAATGAAACATGTTTTCATGCTGCATCAAATGAACTGGAAGTTCTTTGGCATAGAAAATTAGGACACATTTGCATGTCAAAACTGTCTAAACTATCAAAACTAGAGTCTGCACGAGGTATTCCCAGGTTAAAAGATAAGCCTAATTTCTTTTGTGATGCTTGTGCAAGTGGTAAGTTAACCAAGAAAAGTTTCAAATTGAAGAAGGACATAACCACATCTCAGGTATATGAATTGGTTCATATGGACCTGTTTGGGCCAACAAATGTGGTAAGCCTTGGAGGTAAATCCTATGCTTTTGTTCTGGTTGATGACTTCTCTCGTTTTACGTGGGTATATCTTTTGGCATCAAAAGATGAAGCCTTTGGAATGTTTAAAACATTTGTTTCTAAAGTGTCAAATGAATCTGATACTGGCATTAAGTCAATAAGAAGTGACAATGGGGGAGAATTTATATCAGACCAGTTCATTGCCTTATGCAATGACAAAGGAATAAATCATACATTTTCTGCCCCTAGAACACCACAACAGAATGGTGTTGTAGAGAGAAAAAACAGAACTATAATAGAGACTGCCAGAACCATGTTACTAGAATATGGAAGTCCCAAGTTCTTATGGGGAGAAGCTGTTATGACAGCAGTTTATGTAATAAATCGAGTACTAATCAGGAAACATTTAGAAAAAACCCCATATGAGATACTGAAACATAAAACTCCAAACTTGAGCTACTTTCACCCCTTTGGATGCAAATGCTATATATTAAATACCAGAGACCATTTATACAAATTTGATGCCAAATCCGAAAGAGCAATTTTTCTTGGTTACTCTATAAAAGGACAAGCTTATAGAGTATACAACCTAAGAACTAGAAGAGTAGAGGAATCAGTTTTTGTAAAATTTGATGATTCTGTTTGTTCTGAGAAAGTTGCTGCAGAAAACATTGATCTTCTGTTTCCAATGCCAAGTACTAATGATGTAAAGCAAGAAGATGAGGAGGCAAGTGTCAAGCAAGACAGAGAGCCTACAGAAGAACCATCCAGTCAACCAGAAGAAAGAATGGCACCTGCTCATATACAAAAACGACACCCTGCATCACAAATCATTGGAAAACTAAATGAAGGGATACACACCAGAGGTAAGTACTGCCCAGGTCAGTATGCATTTGTCTCACTTCTTGAACCAAAGAACTATAAAGAAGCTTTAACTGATGATGAATGGTTACATGCTATGCAAGAAGAACTTATACAATTTGCAAGATTGCATGTTTGGGAATTAGTACCAAGACCTTTTAACAAATTAATCATAGGAACAAAATGGGTTTTCAGAAATAAAACTGATGAGCTAGGGGAAATTACAAAGAACAAGGCTAGATTAGTTGCCCAAGGATATTTACAGGAAGAAGGAATAGATTTTGAAGATTCATTTGCACCGGTTGCCAGAATTGAATCTATCAGAATGCTTTGTGCCTATGCCTGCTATATGAAAATTCCCCTATACCAAATGGATGTTAAAAGTGCATTCTTAAATGGAGAAATAAACGAAGAAGTGTATGTAAGCCAGCCCCCTGGTTTTATAGATCATGAGTTTCCAGATCACGTGTATAAGCTATCAAAGGCGTTATATGGTAACAAGCTCCTAGAGCTTGGTTTGAGAAATTATCCTCATTTCTAAAAGCTGAAGGTTTTGTTCAGGGAAACATGGACAAAACATTATTCATCAAAAGAAAAAACAAAGATACACTAGTAGTACAAATATATGTCGATGACATCATATTTGGTTCAACTAGTCCAACT